TGATGGCTTACCGAATGAGGAAGTAGAAAGACATGTTCTTGAGATGCTAAAACCTCATAGCAATTTGAAGAACTTGTAATCAAGTGCTTGGTGTGCATGTTTTCCATCTTGTTAGGAGATTCGTCATCGCTCTCCAATATGACCGTCCTTAAATTAGAAAATTGTAACAACTGTAGAAGTTTGCCTTCACTCTGGACGTTGAGCTCACTTAAAGACCTCACCATGAAGGGATGAAGAGACTGAAAAAATAGATTTCAAGATGCCTTTCAAGTCATTAGAGGTTCTTCGTTTTGAAATTTGCAAGAATGGTGGTGTTGGAACACTAAGAGAGAAAATGATGATGTTGAAATATTCCCTCTCTCCGAGAGTTGTCCATTGTTAATGTCCGAAACTTGCTGGAGAATTTCCTAACAGTCTTCCTTCATTGGAAAGGCTTTTTATTGAAAAGTGTTCAGAGTGAAGGCTTCAATTTCAAGTGTTCCATCGCTATGTGAAATAGAAATTGATGACTGCAGGAGTGGTGTGTCGTAGTACTATATCTCTGAATTCCAGTCTTTAAATCCTAGGCTCTTTCAAGTACTCCAAGTTTGGAAATTGGATAAAGCAAGGATTTCAAAAAATTTCAAAGATTGTTGGCTGTGAAGAGCTCACAAATTCGTGGCAAAATTTGGATGTGTTGGTAAGCCACTTCATGGTATTCATAGCCTTACATCCTAAAGATTTGTCTTTTGTAAACTGTACAAGTCTTGTTTTGTTTCCAGAGATCGATTTTCTTCCCAATCTGAGTTTTTTGACGATTAGTAATTGGGAGGCTAAAATCTTGGCATAAGGATTGAAGCAAAAAAATCTAGAAAGGCTTGTAATTAAAGATTGTGATTCTCTAACAGTCTTTGAAGGACAACTACCTTTATTTTGAGAAGACTTGAGATTCGAAATTGTAAGCAATTGAAACATTTGGAGGATTTGAGTACTACCGTTTGGAGTACTGCCATTGAGGACTGTTCATCTCTCACGTGCATATCATCAAGGTTGTTTGCCTGACACACTCAAACACTTTGGATTCGTGGATGTCCAAGCTCACAACGCTATCATCAGACAGCAGTGTTTTCCTAAGGCACTTGAAGTCCTCTATATTTTCTCTTGTTCAAGCTAGAGTCAATAATAGAGACATTTGAAAATAGCACTGTGTCTCAAAGAGATTACGTTTTTGCTGTGTGATCAACTTAAATCGGTACTCAGACCTACACATCTTACATCTCTTGAGATGATTAGGATATGAATTGTCCGGATATGAAATATCCTTCAAATTTCCAAACTCTCTCCAAAACTTAGGTGTAAGGAATTGTCAATATTGTTTGCAGAAGAAGGTGTTCCAACCAACCTAATAGAGCTCTATTTTCAGAAAGGTTCCAAAATCGTAAGTCACTAATAGAGGGGATTGCACAACCTCCCCTCTCTTAGACAACTTCATATTACTGGATGTGATGATTCAGGGCCAATTTCTCAAGAGAGCATGGTAACGACCTCCTCTCTAACTTCTCTATCTACTTTGGGTCTTCAAAGCCTCACCTCTCTAAATCGCTGGCAATTAACAATTTTCGAGAGCTAAAACCATTCAAGACTTGAGTTGCCTCATCTCTCTTGAAAGTTTGGAGATCAATGGTCCCAAACCTTGAAACCATTCCAGACCTGGGAAGCCTCACCTCTCTTAACAGTTTGGAGATTGAAATTGCGAAAACCTTGAATCCATTCCAGAGTTGGGAAGCCTCACCTCTCTTGAATCTTTGTCCATTGATGAATGCCCAAAGCTCAAATCCATTCCAGATCTGGGAAGCTCACCTCTCTTGAGTCTTTGTGCATTAAGAAATGCCCAAAGCTCAAATCATTGCAAAGCATGCCACCCTCACTTCTGGATTTAAGTATTGACCATTGTCCATTGTTAAAAGACGGTGGAAAAGGGGTAGAGAAATACTGCTCAAAGATTGCTCATATCCCTAAAGTTTACATAGATGGAAACTTAATCTTCAATTCAAAGAAGGAAGAGTATCAAGAAGAGCATATTTATTTGATTTCACAACATCCAATCGGAGAATCATCTTACTTCAACCCGTTGGTCTTTCTTACACTATTTTCTTTTATCTTCCGCCTTAATTTCAAAGTTTCCTAAAATTGTTTTTCGTTTAACTTTAATGGACTTTTTTTAACACCTTGTTCTGCAATTTGTCTATCCCTTGCTTTATTTAATAACTTTTCACTAATTTAATCAATGTATTCTTCACTTTGATACTCTCGTGGGTGATCTAAATTATGATTTCTCGTGTGTGATCTCTGATTTAGAGATATAATTTTGATATTTTCCTCGTCTTTCTGTGTTTCAGATGAGTTAAGCTTCTCCCACTCAGAGGAGTCAAATTTATACCACTCAGAGATATAATTTGAATCTAGCCTTTTTAAACCCAAAATGAAGAACCAATTGCAGAATCATCTCATTCCAATTTTAGGTTTGCCGTTTCAAACATGTGAATGGTTTCCTATTTATAATCATAAAATGGTGTTGAATAATCCCTTCGTTGTTCTATAGATTCAATCCAGAGTGGAGTAAGACATTTTGATACAAGAATACTTGAAATTTGAAGTTTTTATACACTATCTTTCTAAAGTCATCAGTTTCTTCAACTCTTGTGGGTGAAAGGTAACAAAAGAAATTCTTCAACACAAATTCCAATATTTTCAATTATTGATATATATCATACTGCCTATGATTGAAAGAGATGACACTTTGGTCACCAGCAAAGGCTTTCAAAGGTGACCCTCTCCAGTTTCCAGCTATTTCCCAAGATTTCAGCACCTCAATCAACTCACCCAGAGAACTTACAGTCACCCACCATTTATTTCCTTATTTTAAGTTACTTTACTAACTGGTCGTTACTCAAACATTCAAGAAAACTTGAGAATAGTCAAATTGTCTAAAACACAGATCTCATCTTAAACAAATCAACGAGCAAAATTCTACACAAATTATACAAAAAGCTTCCACAGTTCTTAACTTACCCACTTGCATCTTCCTCAAAAGTCAAGTCCCCCACAAATGCGCCTAGATCGAACACATTTTTCTGGGCATCATTTGCATCACCAAAAGAACCACCCTGCATACAATAAAATTTTCATATTAAAATCCCAGCAAAAATAAACTATCCAAATTCTCAATAAGGCCAAAGCAATTAACATTTCACAAATAAAAATTACCACTTGGTTTGCCGCAACATCCGCCATCTTCAAACACGCACAACAGCTTCACTCGCACAAATTAAAAAAAAAAAAAAATCCTAAGAAATTTTTTTATTTAATAACCATCAACTCCTGATAGTTTAGAAAACAATCAACAAGCACCTTTCTTGAAAATTTGTAAGGGACTAAGGGGGTGTTTGTCTGAGCTTATGAAAATTAGCTTATAAGCAATAAGTGCTTATAAGTTAATTTTGGCTTAAAAGCATTTGAGATTTTAAGCAATTACGTGTTTGGTTAAAATACTTATAAGTGACTGATAAGTAATTGACGTGTTTAGTAAAATGTGGCTTATAAGTACATTTTATTATAAAATTACTAAAAAAGGTACTACATTAAATAATGGTATACTATGAAATTTTAAAACAACAAAGCTACGGACACCGATAAATCTGCATCGAAAATGTGTATCGGCCTACGTATAACGCGCTTCTGAATTTTTTTACAATTTTTTTCTAGTGAACGGTCGTCCATCAAATTTGAACGGCCGTTCACTCATATGGACGCCCGTCCATATTATATGAACGGGCGTCCATATACAAGGGACGGGCGTCCCCATTTAAAGGACGCCTGTCCCTCATTAAAATATAATAAAAAAAAAATTATAAACATTAGGGACGGTCGTTCATCCGTTATGGACGGTCGTCCTTTTGTTTTGGACGGGCGTCCGCAAATAAGGGACGCCCGTCCTTGACCAAAATATAAAAAAATAAAAAATAAAAACTTTGGGACGGCCGTCCATAAATTTTGGACGGCCGTCCCTTGCGTAATGGACGCCAGTCCCTTAAGTTTGGACGGGCGTCCATTAGAAATGGACGCCCGTCCATACTTTAAAAAAAAAAAAAAAAATTTAAATGAAACAAGGAGTGGCTGCTGCTCTTTCTTTCTTGAAGATGAAGACGCAGCAGTGGCTGCTGTAACGGCTGCTATGGACAATCCTCAGTCTTCTTAAATGATAATTTGAAATTAATGGAATGAGGGTGCAATCTAACTCTAGCACCACTTGCAGTCTCAACAAATCGTTTTCCATTTTTATGAGGTGGACGCAACCTTGCCACCATTGGATACAAACCAGCCACAAGGACTGCATGTAGTATGCCAAGCACATGTGCATTCTGGCTACAGCTTGAGAAATCTTCTGGAATAAACCCATTCCTAACTAATTATGCCTGAAGCTGCTTACGCATACCAAGCAGCATATTCATGATGCTTAAAGAGACGAAATACTGAGAACAAAACCGTGCTTCTTGACCCATCTGTTTTGCATTCCTCCAGCACTCAAAAGCTGTTATGACTGCTAGCTGATCACTCTGCCCACCATACAATGAAGCAAGCTCAAATTTAGCAGCAGTTACTCTCTTATTTTCATTTGGTAACATAGGAAGGGTAAACAGATCCCTATAGTCAAAAGCACATGCAAGTGTCAAAGTTGCGTCAAGACAGTTCATCATTATGGCAAAGAAAAACATCTTGCTCATTAATGGATGAACGGAAAGAGAGCAAAGTTGGGTCCTGTTCGGGGCTGAGAGCAAAATGAAAATGGCAGAGAAGCTATGCAAAGTTGGTATCGTATCTGTGGGAGACGACAAGGTTAGCTGCCGGAGATGGTGGCCAGAGTGCAATACGCTTCCGTTGGGCTGGGATGAGGGTTGTCTTCCAGCTCGAGTTCACCACGGGGGGGAGGANTTCCACATAAATTATACAGAAAGCTTCTACAATTCTTAACTTACCCACTTGCATCTTCCTCAAAAGTCAAGTCCCCCACAAATGCGCCTAGATCAAACACATTTTTCTGGGCATCATTTGCATCACCAAAAGAACCACCCTACAAACAATAAAATTTTCATATTTAAAATCACAACAAAAGTAAAATATCCAAATTCTCAATAAGGCCAAAGCAATTAACATTTCACAAATAAAAATTACCACTTGGTTCGCCACAACGTCCGCCATTCAAACACGCACAACAGCTTCACTTGCACAAATTTTAAAAAAAAAAAAAAATCAAAAGAACTTCAAAATTAAGTGAAAAAATGTATAATAAGATTGGGTATTCGTTTAATTGGTTGTTTACCTAGAATCAGAACGGATTCTCGTACAACATTTGAACGAAATTGAATTTGAATTTTCAATCTCCAGAAGAGAGTTTCAGATATTTAGTTGCTGAGATGAAGCGAAAAATTGTAAAATGAGCGGACTAGTTCGATTTTAAACAACGGTAATATGGCTAAATATTAACTGCATTTATTTTAGAAAAACTTCAATAAACCCCTTACTTGAAAATAAATTTTATCTTAGCCTCCTAGTCCTGGGGACCATTTGGGATTTGAAGAGAAAACTTGGAAAGTAAGTGGACCGGTTGGGTTTTGAACAACGGTTATATGACTTTTTGGACAACGGTAATATGATTAATCACATTAACTCCTGGTAGTTTAGAAAACAATCAATAAACACCTTTCTTGAAAACTTTTAAGGGACCAATGCAGACCTGGCAAAATAAGCCTGTACCCATTAAAAAATGTACGGTACCAGTCCAACTTTTTTGAACTTTTTTTTTTTTTTTTTTTTTTTTACTTATACTTGGCCCAGCCCGATTTTTTTACGGGTGGGCAAGGTATACCTAACGAGTACCCATGAAAAAAAAAATTAACCTAAATTCCCAAAATTGTTTTTTGTTTCCTTTTGAAGTCTTTTCTAATTCCTAAAATCAATTAGAGTTCAACTTTCGGGTGTTACACATAAAAAAATACACTAATAAGATGACATCTTTCAACTCTTCATCTTTCGTCTTTCTTCTTCAAAGTTGTCGCTGTCGGCATCTCTTACCGACTTCCAACCGAGTTTCTTCACCATTTCAATTGACTTCACCTTCCTCCACCATCATTTTCAACCCAGATGGAAAGATCTCTCTTTTTGGCCGATTTTCTCACTTAAAGGGCTCTTAGAAAGTAAGTGGACAAACTAGTTTTAAACAACGTTAATAAATTAATTAACTCCAAGTAGTTTAGAAAACAATCAATAAACCCCTTTGTTGACTCAAGGAGTCATCATGCTCTTATTTTGATGATAACAAACTAATATGTCCCTAAACATATTAGTTAATGACTCTTGCTCAAATGTAGGTTTAGATAGCAAGGAAAAGACAAAGTCTGAACAAAGAATTTGGAAGATTTCAAGAAAGCTTAGTCAAAGCACCAATCTTGGTTAGAAAATGTCATTTGCATATGAAAGCTCTCCAAATGTTATTTTTGGGGGTCTAAATATCATTATCAGTTAAATAAATTTACCAAGTTTTGAGTATTCATAGTTTAACCCATTAGGTCAACCGAATAAGTTTTCCATTATTTATTCTTAATCATGATCTACTATTCAAATGCTTCAGGTATGATATTGTTGTTTTTGGCTATTGGCCTAGTTATTTTCATATAAAATATAGTTTTCAAATTCTTCAAGTATATACTAGGAAATCAATAAGAGAAATAAATTTTAGATGCTATAACAATGTCCTTATATTGCTTCTAAATTAAGTTGTATTTATGTTGTCTAGATAATAAAGTTAGTTAAGATGTTGAATTAAATTATATAGTAGAATTTTATTGGATTGATGGTCCATTCAAAACTGCAATGAATGAATTCCTGAACTTGTCCCTCAGGAGTTTATGTCTTTCGAAACCGATCTTTATTGTAAGTAAAGTCAAAAGCTGAAGAAAGTTCACTGATGTCAATATAAGTATATTCAGCTGCCAGTATAAGCAATTGTTAGAGTCCATAATGTTTATGGTTTTATATAGACTAAGAGTAATATTGGTTCATAATGTTTTTTGTACATACATGGGATTAGATGAAGTACGTGCACCCTTTAAACTTGATCAAAGCTATCTTGCTAAAAGAAGTTTCAGAACGTGGTCAATTACAAGGGTTGGATGTAGGTACTCAATTTGTTGAGTTATCTGAAAACTTGAACCTCTAACGAGGATTGAAAGTTAAGGACAGAACCTTGAGAGCAAGAATTAAAAACTTGAACCTCCAACGTGAGGTTTAGAGCAAGAATTGAAAACTTGAACCTCTGAATGAGAGAATCTAAAAAACGAGAGAGTCTGAAACAAGAGAATATAAAAGATGAGAAACAAATGAGACGGAGTTGCCATTTATGTTATTTATTAGTGTATTTTAAATTATTAAAATTATAAATGTATACTGTGAAACGCCCTTGAAAAGATCCCTTAGCTTAAGCAATAAGCTCATAACAAGGGATCCCATGAGAGGTAGGTATAGGCTTATAGCTTGGAAATGATGATTGGTCATAGGTTAGTGAGGAGATTAGGACAAACATTAGCTGCACTAAGGTGGTTGATAGAACTTGAAGCAGTTGGTTATATTCAACTAATAGAAACACTATTTGAAGTGACAACATTAGTTTTCACAAATCAAGGGGGAAAATGTTTTCGTGCCAAACCTCAGGGGTGGCACAAACAAAACCATTCATGAACCCCGTACAAGCAATAGTCATCTTCAAGCAGGGCTTTGTTAACGGGATTAAAATCAAATTCAATCCCAGGTAATATGTGTTTTTTAAGAGGCCCGCATGAAGTATTATATTTAGGCTGAGGGGTTTGGGCTTGGTTTTGTGGGGCCTACTGGTGTACCGTGTTTATAGCTCACGTTGTGTGGGCCTTGTTAGGTTGGCTTTTTTTTTTTTTTTTTTTTTTGACACTCATTGATGAATTAAAGAGTTGTATTCATTAAAGTCTACTCCAAAGTTTTACATCTTTTTTTTTTTTTTTTTTTTTTATGTTACCGCAAAACTTGCATAAATGTCCTTAAAATTCTATTTTTTTTATATTTTGAAAAAGTTAATATTTCATTCCCTTCACTTATTCTATATACTCCACCGTCATCATTCCTAAAATAAAATGTTTAAATAATTAAATTTTAAATTTTAAAAAAATTCAAGGTAAAAAAAAATCCCAGAAGCATAATACATTTAAACAACATAAAATATGCATAGATTAAAAATATCTACCAATACTTTGAAGAAAAATTAACCAAAAATTTTATATGTGAAGCAATTAAAAACTTTAGTTTTGTATTTCTTGTAATTACGATTCTTCTTCCTCTGTTAAACTAATACTTTGTTCGAAGAATAATTTGAATAGCATTAAAAAAAAAAAATAATAAGGTTTATGAGATAATAGTGAACAATAAGATGCAAGTCTTGATCAAGTTAATTAATTTGATAATCTTTATAATGGATTAAAATCACCTTCTAAATATGAGCTTATAATCAACTTTTGCAAACCAGGTTTAACTTCCTTTAAGAAGTGGCTTTGGACTTGTTCTCTTCCTTGGAACTTATCTTTTTGCTTTAGGCTTTTTATATTTTTGTTTAGACCTAAGCCTATTATTTTTGGCCTAAAACGAATAACAAAAATTAATATTCCATAAACATCACTAATAAAAGAGTAAGAAAATAAAAAAAAAAATTACAAATTAAAATATTTGTGGAAACACATGATTCATGAATGCTCTGTTATGTTCATAGCATTAATCATCATACATAACTAACAAAGATTGATAGGCAATAGCGGATCCAAATTTTTTTGTTAGAATGGGCCAAAATAAAAACTAATTACACATTAGTATTTTTGTTCATTAATATTTTTGTTATGGTAGCCAAGATCTAAAAATGATATATATTAGTATTTTTTAAAGTAAAATTGAGCGTGGGTCAAAAGTGGGCTGGATTCGCCCCTGTTGATAGGGATCATAGTATCACCTTCACAATTCGTTGGAGCCAAATTTTTTTTGCCCAACCCAAGGGATAAATTTGTTATCACCAAGAGATCCCATGATCTTTATATGATTTGAAATGGATGGTGGAGATTGCACAAAAAAATGAAGGTTATAAACGAACAAATTTGTGGGGCCACTTCTTTTTATCATAGTATTAAATACACCCCCTTATTTGTGAATTAGTTTTTATAAACATACATTTAAAATGGGATAATAATTAAATCAACCAATTTTTTAACCTTAAAAGTAAAATAAATATTAATATTCTGTATTACAATTTCCAAACAATAATATTTTGTAGTAGTTTTCTACATGAATTTTTATTTAATTTATAGTATATATGATCTTCAAGTTCCATTTAATCTTTTAAAGTAAAAGTAAATTTATGTTCCAAGTTCTTTGACATTTTTATAGCTAATGTTAAGTCAAGGATATATTCGTCTTTTCACTTTTCCTCCTGTTTGAACAAGTCCAATAATGCAAGTGCCTGCGCTATATCCAATTGAAACATTAATCAATCATGTATGCCAAAAAAAAAAAAAAAAAAAAAAATATATCTTAAAAGTAAATTTATATTATGTCAAAAACATCTTCTTCTTTACATTTCTTCTTGATTCTAATTCTAACCTCACATTAATTAATCAAGTTTTCTACATCAATCAGCATTAATTGGCCAGCTTTTTTTTTTTTCAATTTTTTATAATTTTTTTATTTTAATAAATGACCTTATTTTTAATTTTTTTTATAAATTTGTTAACCCTAAAATTAATATAAACCAAACTGGGGGTGAAAAATACATTTAATAAAATCTGGTGAGAAAATGCTATTCAACCTTGTCAAAAATTATAAAGTCAATAGGACGAGTGGGAAATAGTTTTTCTCGCGTTTATGGGTGGAAAAATATAATTACGGCAAATCTTGGTTGGGAAATTGTCATTCACTGATATTTTGATTTCGAAAATTTCTTTTTGTTTTATTTGAGATGATATTAAAATATTTATTTGGGAAATGTAAAGAAACACATAGGGGGCGTTTGGTTTAGGAATGTTAGATTACTGAAAATGTTGGATTACTGGAAAGATAGATTACCTTGGAAGATTACTGAGAATCTTTAGGAAAATGTATTTGGTTAGTTGGTGGGTATGTTATATTAATATGTTTGGTTATGGGGAATAAATTGGTGGTTATGTTATTTAAATTACTAATTTGTCCCCGTTTTAAATATTAATATAATATTATTTTTATTATTAATTTTTGAATAGTTTCTTTTAACCCCCATGTTTCAGATTTAGCTAAAACACCCCCGCTTATATCAAACTTTCATTTATGACGAAATCACCTCCACCTCTTGCCGCCACCGCGAACCACCGCCAGATGTCTTCGAAAGTCCGCGTGAGTACCTCACCCTGACCAAGAGGCTCCACTATGGCCGTTTCTGGCCATATTAATGGCCGAAAACAGCCATATCAGGCC